ATCACCAAAAGAAAAGCACCTTGGCAACATGTTAAAGGTCCAGACAATCTGCTCCCACCCAAAGGCTCCCTCGTGTTGCTTCTGCCTGAAATTCCACATCCCGTTTCATTTGTCAATGTTCTCTGAGACTGTACCCAAAATTACTTGTTTTGAAAGAAACTCAATAAATAGCAAACTCTCCTTCAATCAAGTTCTGAGAAAAAAGTCGGTGGATGGAGGCCAACAATGCTGAAGGCATCCATCTTCTTAATGTAGGGCCTGTTCAGATTCCTGTTTCAGTGTGGAGGAGGAGATCCCCTGCTCTCTTTAGGCTTTCTCCTCTCTAAGGATAAAGGGGAGGAACTATGTCAACACTACCCTTTGTTATTCCTCACCCCCAATAAAATAAAATCACCTTTTATCTTCTAGGGGATTAAGAAACTAAAAGGCCAGGGGCAGCACACAATTAGAATTGCTGTTTCTACCCATAAATGTCACCAGAAAGAACTGTGTTCTAATAAGAAAGGCAGGCTCATTTTCAAGTTGTTTTGCAAGCTAAATGCAGATCAAGGAAGTACTATCAAGTTTTATTGAAGAACCTGAAAAAACTCATTCTAAAGTATACATGAAGATTCAGATTTTGACCAAAGATGAACATAGGGGTAATTGATTGAACTAGACATTAAGACATACTACAAAGCTATTTAGTATAAACCAAATGGTTGCTTGTGCAGATATAAAAATGTACAAGTTAATGGGAGAGAATAGGGAACACAAACATATCCAGATACAGATAGGGGTTCGATATGCAACACGCATGGCCAAATACGTCCCCAGGGCACAGATGGGTAGTTCATTAGATGTATTTGAAAACATGGCTCACAATAAGGAAAAAGTTTCAAGCATACTCTGTTTCACCCTAGATAAAGGTGATCTCCAGATGGACTTAAAGAAACTTTAAGTTTTGAAAATATAACTCAAAATGAAGTATAGATTGTATAAATGACTTTGGAGTGAGGAAGCTCTTCTTCAGAAAAAAATGTAGAAGCACAAATTATTATATGAAAAAGTATTTGACCACCTCAAAATCATGGATTTTTTTTTCCTAACACAAAAATACTTAACATTCAAACCAATAAATAAATGTCCAGAGAAAAATATCAGCAATGAAAAATGACCCAACCACCAATGAACAAAATATATAAACAGGCAATCACAGATCGGAAATAGCAAATACATACATAAATTAATGCAAGTTCAACAGCAGTGAAAGAATTGCAAGTTGAAATAACCAATAGATTTATACTGAATAGGTTTATACAGAACACATTTTTAAAAATTGAAAACATTAGATTATAAAGTCATTTAGGAAATAGGAAATACAGGAGTCCTTATGAGGAGACCAATTGGTATATAACTAGATTAGGCTCTCTGGAATGTAATCTGGCAGCATTTAGCGGAATTAAATGCTATTATTGCCCAGCAGTCTCAGTGTGTAGAGAGCAGGGAACTTCCCAACAGTCTCATGCAGGAGGCCCAAGTTCACTGTGCACTATGTTTGTACACTATCTCACACTGTTTAGATGTAATAGGTATCTATCATTAAGAGAACAGATATGATAGAAATAACCTTGCAGAAGGAAGTTGTAAAGAACTTGATATGCCCTGGTTATTTGGATTCATTTTTAAAACTCTTTCCTCTCCAGGAGCAAAAGGATCTTAAGAACCTAGAGCACAATAGCATTTTTAATAAATATAAAATACATGCATCAAATAATGTGTTTTTCAAAGTCACATGCTTGTCAAAATACACATAATAAAGCAAAGTGATTGTGTACGGTGAATGGGCAAGGGAATGAGATCTGGAATTATGAACTGAAGGGAAAATATGTGAGGGACTTTGTACCAACTAATGATATAGCAAAAAACGAACTATTATTATTTATTCAACTATCTACTTCTGAAATTCAAAATATAAATCACAAGAGATGGATAATGTGCATCGTGCTGGCATGTAAATAGCAAAAGGCTAAATTACCATTAAAGTCCAAGTAAGATAATCAGTACTGTTGATTATGAGTAACATTAAAATGCCTTTCCAGAATGACAAGTAAAATAACACAAGAAATATTATGCAAATGACATAGAATTCCTAAAACAAACTAGAGTAATTGCAAATAGAAGCAATAATAAATGACATGAGTTGTGAGGGGGATACAGAGTTCTAATTCTTCAGCTCAAAAGAGCCTACCATATTTCATTAAATTAATAGTCAATAAAGTCAAGCCATTTAGGACACATGTGGCCACAATCTGTGAAGGACTTTGTTTTTAAATCACAAAAATATGGGAGAGTGGAGAGAATTTGTAATATTGTTGGGGAAACATATTTATAAAGAATATGCAGCAACCTAGCAAAATGCATAGTGATGAACAGTACCAAAAGTACAATACAACCTGCCAAACAAAAAAGGAAGCAGAAGCTAGAACTGAACATAAAATAAAGTTTGATCCTGATCTCAACTATGTACAATTGTTTGCTAATTAAATAGCTTTACTTCATACTGTAGTCACTAATCATGATATCACATGCAACAGTAATTTGTTAACCATAATATATGTAATCACAATTTGTTAACTTACAATTTTAAATAAGAAACTATAAAGGCTTTAAGAGTATGCTGAACTGTAGACAGTCAATTTCTCTGGTTATTTGAAATCTTCCTTTTTGTATATCTTTGTTTTCCCAAATTCCCACAGTGTACACATATTTATTTGGAAACAAGGAAAATATATCTAATTTTTAATATTAAACACTAATCATGACAAGTAACAGCTTAAAGATGTGATTGCTCAGCAGGTTAGATTAATATGGGTAGAAGAGAAAGACAACACATGCAAATGGACCCAGGCCCGAGACTGACATTTTGAGAAAGACTTTTCTAATTATACAGCCTAAGCTAGCTATGGCATTAATAGCCCAAATGATAAGAATTTAGGACAGTGGTTTTCTCTTAGAGAACTAGCTTAACCAAGGCTTTTTCCCCCTCTGTTCCAGCACATTTGGGAATTAGTAATTCTTATGCACAGATTGTTTGTTAGTCTACTAAAGCTTGTATTTCGATACAGCAAATCAATGGAATATCAAATTATGCATTAATTCTCAGCCCCAGATCCCTTAAAGGATTTTCTTGAGAGTTGTAATGTACTGTTATTAAAGTTTTAAATTTTGTTATATTTTGAAGATAATAGCACCATGCCTATTAATGTGAAATTTATAATTTGAACCCGCAAGTATGCCTTACCACCTCCATGTATTATATTTTCTATATAACACAAAGTGTACACTTTACATTTAAACTATAGCTAAAATGCATATATTCTTCATTTGTGCTACTGCTACTGCAGCTGGGGCAGCTGGCATTAGTAGCAACCCCCAAGGACGGGGACTTTTCTGACTTCCCTGAAGGTGCCTTAGGGCTATGCAAAAGACTGAGGTGTCCCTGAGGAGACTTACTGTGGATGAATACATCTGCCTCAACAAACTGTTTAATATCTCTGTTTAGAAACACGGTCCTTCTAAATGTCCTTCCTATGTTGTTCCCTTATAATTTGCATTTCTAACTTGAAGAAAATCAGAGGTATTTGGAGAAAACTATAATGATGTTGTTTGTTAAGGAGAAAAATGAGCTTTGGTGCCCACGTGCAAGAAAATAAAAGGGCCAAGTATAATGTAGTCAGGTGGTCTATTGGGCTAATGAGGATTATCAAATGACAAAGTTGTAGATTTTTAATATTAATCACATGGAGGCCTAATATTAAACAGGAAAAGAATGAACTGTGAAAAATAGACAGCCACTACTAATATCTCTCACCCAGTGATCTGGCATTCTTTTCCCTAAGTTCAGTGGTTGGGGTTTTTCTAATGGCTTCACCAGGTGTTTTTACTTTTTTTTCCTCCCACATTCTGCATTTATTTGGATCCTTTGCTATGTTTGGTCTATCTCCACCTGGTGTGTGAAAAAATCTATCTAGTATAAGAGTTTTGCTTCATAGGTGCTGGACACAAGAAGGGTACATGAAGAAAGTGTGATGCACTGGCTGGTGATTGACAGTAAATTGTTACCAGTTCACAGTGGGATAAAGACACAAATTGAGAGTGTCTAGAAACTTATATAGCAATTTGACATTGTCAGGATGACTAGTCTGATTGAAAAGGCTGTAAACTATTTCAGGTATTGGTAAAATTTGAGCTGCAGAGAGCACAAATTATGTTCCAGTCAAATTACAATGAATATTTTAAGATTATTTTGATGACTGAAACCTAATACTGTATAAAATTTGAAATCAATGGATTTCTTCAATTGAAACATATAAATTTAATTGTAAATTCAGGATAAATACTTGAAACTGGCTACATATGACATTTTAAAGATTAATTTTGGGAATATAGCATTTCTTCCTTTTGGATACAAATTAAATATCTTAACTTGATGAAATTGTCCATCCTTTCCCATCAGCATTCTTGTGTGAGAATGGTTCTCTTTTGTGAGTTTTGCATTAAATGTTGCTTAACAAAAAATTGTTTGCATTTGATATTGTTATCAATCAAATAAAAATTATGTCAACAGATAAAAACTAAGCTTATTTGTCACATAAAAATTTAAATATTCTTAGCCAGGTGTGGTGGCACATGCCTGTAACCCCATTAATTTGAAAGGTCAGCCTTAGCAACTAAGCAAAACCCTGTCTCAAAATTACAAAGGCCTTGGGATGTTGCTCAGTGATAAACTATGCCTGGGTTCAATCCCCAGTACCAAAAAATAAAATATTTTTATATATAGTGTTAGCTTGAATTGTATGTATAGGTATTTGATATGGGAAATTAGTATTTTGCTCCTATCTTTTTATTATGATTGTTAAAAGGAAAATTTTAAGAGTCTTTGTGATTGTCTCTATTAATCAAACATCCATGTTTTCTATGTTTTAACCTAGCTGTTTTAGCTTCTTTTAAAAAACATTAATTATCTTGTAGTTACTTCCCACAAGTCTAACAAATAGTCCTATGAGTAAAGCAAAACCACAGAGTTACTCTATGAGGGATTTCCAATGATGTGTGGGCAACAGAAGAAGCTCCATTGGGATAGACCTCAACTTAAAATCTTAACCTACATATTGTGATTATATTTGATGAAATATAATTTTTCATGTAATGAAAATCAGGGCTTACATTTTTCATTTCTTTTTTAAAAACTGCTTTATGTTTTTATAACATAGTAGTCTATACCTGTTTATAAATAAATTAAAACTAGGTTGTTGTATCAGATACCTTGACAAGTGATGCCCTGTGATCTAAAATATAATAAGGTGTTAGAAGAAATGGAAGAAGTCATCTAAAACTAGTGATATTTTTTGAGGATGTGGGATATGAAAGATAGAATGAAACAAACATTATTACTGTATGTATATATGTGACTGCATGACCAATATGATTCTGCAACATGTACATCAGAAAAATGAGAAATTATATCCCATCTATTATATATTTATATATATATATATTATATTTGTATGATATACCAGAGTGCACAAATGCATTCTGCTGTCATGTATAACTAATTAAAATAGATTGAAATTTTTTTAAAAAAAGGTGATGACACATGTACAGTGTACTGGGCTCTTTTCTTCTTTTTCGTTTTTCCTCTGCCTAGTAACTACTACTTCTGGGAATATCTTCCCCACCCCACAACACACCTAAGCAGATTCTATGGTTTCCATGTCTGCCTTTGTAGACATGTGACCTATATAGTTACATAGAGCCCTTCTCTTTAGAAGGGCCCTAAGTCTGCTGCTCTAATACCCTGATGTAGCTCTTTTAAAATTCTTAATAGTTTTTGAAAAAGGGGACCCACATTTTCAAATTGAACTAGACTCCACAAAATTAGGTAACAATCCTGAGTAGCAGCTATGTTAGTATGATATAACCACACTCCCTAGCCACCTTGATTAATTCAAGTCTGTGTGCCAGACTGAAGTCAATAATAAGGCTTTCCAGAGAATTTGAAACTTGGTAATGAGAGATTCAGGGCAGATTTATATTATGTCTCAGTAATGACTAAGATACAAACTTCTACCCAGCCAATCTTATTCTTGTGATGCTTGGTGATTCAATAACTCCTGGGACCATGACAAAAGAACTATTATACTATATTCCCTTTTTAAAAATTCTGGAATAAGGTTGTTCTTGAAACCAAAAAAATGTAACTGAAATGTGTGCCTAATTTATAGGTTGAAGAAAGAATAAGAAGATTGAAAATTATATTGCAATTTTGTTTTCAGTCTTAAATATTAAGTTTCAATATTTTAATGCAATGGACATAGTTGCATGAAAATATGTTGGTAAATCATAATCTAGAGGTTGGAGATCATAATCTAGAGTTTGCATTGTTATATTAATAATTATTTGCTTGTAATTTTACTATATTTTATTATTTGCTTGAAATAGTTACTATATGTAATACAATTATATAAAATTACATTTTATATAATTGTATTACATATAGTAACTATTTCACTTTTTATATATGTTCCACATCTGGGATGATGGGATAAAATGGATTAAAGAGCCTTTCCTTTACCCTTGGAGAAAATGGAATATAATGGATATAGGAAAGTCAACAATTAAGAAGACTGGCCACACCCTGAATTTGGGAAAAGCCATCTGGGTATTGGAGGTCTCTCCTGTGAAAATGGATAACCAGCCAAGTGTGCCCTGGTACAGTGTTTTTCATAAAAAAGTTTTTGAATGGTAAACTGAATTCAAACATTAAAATATTTGATGCTGAATTTGCAATTATCCTTTGTCCTCAGCCACCTCTTACTACTTACTCTCTCAAACCACAGAAAAATGGATAGGAAAAAAACATACCAAGTTCTCCAACCTGAAAACACACATTAGCAGGAAAGAATTCCTGCCTCTGAAGTAGCAGAAAGGAAGTCAGTTGGTTATCCTTCACTGTTGCTGAAAATGAAAGGTGCCAAAAAGAGCTGCCTAGACAGGGAAAGGGTAGAAAGAAAAAGAATAGTAATAATTCAAACACAAAAAAGAAAAATTCAAACTACATAAGGCAATAAGCTGACCACGTTAATGACTGTGAATAACCAGAAACCCAAACCCTGGAAACAAAAACTCAATAGAGCAAAGCTTTCCAAAGTTACTTCTAGCTATAGGAAAGCATTAAATATGATTTAAATGATCTATGAGTTCAAATCTGAGATATTAAAATAATAGGGTGAGATGAGCATAAAATACTAATGGATACCAGTGACAAGATCATCAGAGGACAGTTGAGGATCACAGTAGTTATATCATTTATATTGTTACAATAATAGTTACGGTGATATAAATCTGCCCCTTTTTTTCCATCTACATAGATTTTATGGCAGCATCACTCATCTTTTCCATCATGGGAGAATGGACAAATAATTTGTGGTAAATTATTTCTATGAATTTATCCCAAAATAGAGTGTGATTTTCAGTCTGGTGACTTGTGCATGGCATCATCTTAAGTGAAAAAAAATTTTTCATTATTCCTTTTGGGAAAAAATTTTCCTTTTGGGTTATTTTTGTTTTTTTATTCCGGCCCAATTCCCTTTATATGTGAATGTTAGAATGATCATGTAGATTTATGTAGGAAAAGAGAAAATTTCATTGTGTATATACACCACAGTTTCTTTATCTATTCATCTAGGACATGAAAGGCATCTAGGTTGGTTCCACAACTTAGCTATTGTGAATTGTGCTCCTACAAACATTGATGTGGCTGCATCAGAGTAGTATGCTGTTTTTAAGTCCTTTGGGTATAAAACAAGGAGTGGGAGAAACTGGGTCTAGATGAATGGATAAAGAAACTGTGGTATATATACACAATGGAATATTTCTCAGCATTAAAAGAGAATAAAATCATGGCATTTGCAGGTAAATGGATGTAGTGTAGAATATCCTGCTAAGCAAAGTAAGCCAATCCCCTAAATCCAAAGGCCAAATATTTTCTCTGATATGTGAATGCTGACTTATAATGGGGTGTATGGGGAGGAATTTAGGAACTTTAGATAGGTTGAAGGTGAGGGAGGGAAAAGGAAGGGGCATAGGGTAGGAAAGATGGTGGAATGAGATGGACATCATTACCCTAAGTACATTTATGAAGATACAAATGGTGTGACTCTACTTTGTGTACGACCAGAGACATGAAAAATTGTGCTCTATATGTGTATTATGAATTGAAATGCATTCTGATATGTATAACAAATTAGAATAAATACATTTTAAAAAACAGAAAAAAGAAACCACAACTTTCCATACATTATTATGCATGATTTAACTAATGACTTGAATCACATAGTGTCATTTTAACCCTAATCTTTTCTTTTTCCTGTAAAACCCTGTTTGTTACATATTACATTTCAAACTTGAAATTCATAAGGAAAGTGTAACCCAAGGACTTCTTTTTAAGGTCACTTACTCTTATTCTAACAAAATTAACTTTTTCTTCTAATTACAGCTGAAAGGCCTTGGTGACATGGAGGATTTGGTTCTTTATGGAAAGATGACAATAATCAGCAGATGGTATCTTAAGTGAGCTGCCTTTCACAGGGAATGCACCCAGCTCTCTGCAGATTTTGGTGAGGTCTCAGTCCTGGAGCACACAATCTATGGGGCATAACTACATGGTAAGAGCACAACAGGGAAATGCAGGATGGGTCAACCCAAAGATGAGCAAAGTAAATGTATTAGGGTTCTCCAGAGGAACAGAATCAACAGGAAGTATGATTCTAAAGACAGGATTTATTAGATTAACTTATACAACCAGAAGATGGATAATCTAAAATGGCCATCTGCAAGCTGGAGAGCTGGAGGAACCAGTAGTTGCCCAGTCCAGGAAGCTGAAGCTACAGAAAAAGAGGGATCAACAGTGCTTCCCTAGTTAGAAACCAAAGGCTTCTGGAAACTCCTTGGAGAATCTCTGGCAGAGCCCACATTGGAAGACTGAAGAAGTAAGAATCCAATATCCTCAGGTGACTGCAGCAAGAATCAAGAGCCTATTCAAGAAGAATGGGGCTTGCATCTGCTGAAGCTTCTTTGTTATTCCAACTTTTATTCCATCTAAGCCATCATCCTATTGGACAGTGCTGCCCATGTTTAGGGAAGGTCTCCACTTCAGTTAGCTATCCACATGTCAATCATTCCTAGACATGTCCTCATGAATACACCAGAGCCTCTTAATCATTAGCATCTCTTAATCTAATCAAGTTGACAATTCAAATTAACCATTACAGTAGAGAACCATTATTATACAAAGAAGCCAGTGTTACAAGAAAATTAGTTTCATAAACTTAAGACTAAGCCAAGAACAAAAATATGAGTGACAGTAATCCAGAGCTGCATGATCATTTTGATATATAATGCAAGCCTCAAATGTAAGCCATAAAACATGATTTTAAATTTCCTAGTATCTAATTTAAAATATAAAATATAGATGAAATTAATAAATATTTTATTTTATCTTATATATCCCAAATATTAATGTCAACATGTAGTCAATACAGAAAGTATGAGACATTTATTTTCTTCTAAGTCTTCAAAACCCAATGATAATTTCCTTATTTCAAAGTAGTAGCAATTAAGTGCCACACATGGTTACTGGTTATTGTCCAGGATGGTGCAGGGCTAGAATCATGGAAGTGACCAATGGGTAAAGGTGAGAGACTCTAAAATTAATCCATCAAATCCAGCAAATGATGTCAGGTACTCTTTATCTTCAGTGCACATGTAAATTTTAAGTATTCTAAATCCTCAATTTTCTTCTATCTTACCTTCAAAACCCTCAGATTTGTTGGTTATGTCAATGAGAAAGATATTACATCATATCCCCTCTTCATAGGCCTGAGATATCCTATGAACTAGCACTGTGGATGGTTTCAATATTGCTCAAAATACAATGGAATCTTATTGCTTACTAAATTGAAAAAAAAGAGGACATAAAAATTGAGAGTACCCATCTAGCTAACATCAACTATATTTGGATTTTGATTGTTTCCACTGTTTGTGCTAAATAGGGATTCCTGCATTCTGATACAACCTAGATTTTATGTATT